TTCATTATTTTACATTTGTTTAAGAAAAAGCAACGAAGCATAAACATTGTTATTTTATTTTTTTTTGTACACTATTCAAATTTTTACTGTTGTCAGTAATTATAATTACGCACGGTCACGATGAGTTCGGTCATAGGGACGTCACGAACATTCTATTGATAGTATCAGTTCGATATCTTTTTCTCATATATATCAATCAGTAAGATACAGATGAAAGGTTGAATCAACATCATTTTTATTGATTGAGGATGAGGGCGTGCGTTAGGTGCAATCACACTCTATCTTAATTTTTTTTTCGACTCTTCCCAGCAAAAGCGGTCTAAACGTCACTAGATTATATGTTGAATGGAGATGACAATACGATCTTTGACCAAAATTGTATCTCTTCTATAAAAACCATCTCTCATCATAAAAGCCATAGATCCGCCACTGGTAGTTATGAGCACAGGTTTGTATGTGAGATGAATTTGTTACTCATACTCACACCCACATGCATAACTCATTGAAAGAAAAACAAAAATTTCATGAAAATTTTAATTTAATTACACGATGAAATCAAAAAACAGTCGTCATAAGGTTTCACTCGAGCATGACCGTGACTATAGATTCAAGTTACGAAATTTTCTAAAAATATTAGTAACGATCGTGACCTTAGCTATGACTGCTGTGAGTCACGGCGGTCACGCCAATATTTACACATGACTCACGAAATCATCAATTATTACGAAAGTTTTAAATAACTTGTTAATGGCGACGAAATTTGATCTATATAAGATCGATTGAAAAAAAAGTAAAAGCGATACTCTTTCATATATTTTACCTATACACTATTCAGTCATAAGAATATGTAAATATCATCGAGCATTCAACTGTTATTGATTTGGTTATTGCAAGATGATCAATGAACAAATACTATCAGATTATTAAACTATTCTCTATTCAATTTTATTTTACTGATTTAATGCTGAGAGATGTAATATCAACAAACAAAGATTACTAATAATACTTTGCTTTCAATATAAAAAAAACAATCGTCAGATTGCAAAAAATATGATAAAATAATGTATAATAAATAAAAATTGTATAGATGTTTGATCATAAAATTAACTATCGATCAACTCACACTCCAGATCAAATGTTTCTAAGCCTCGGTAAATGTAATTATCTATGAACAGTGAAAATGATTCCAACAAAGGTCTACTTTGAAATTTATTGTTTGCAGAGCTAACGGTATCTTCATATACTCATATTCTACCGAAATTTAGGTTAGTTTGATGTATTTATCTTACAATTCTTCGCTTTCTTATGAAAAAGATACGTCTTAACAATGATGACTACACATCAATATGAGATTGTTATTACTGTGTCAGCATTACATTTTAGACATCGTCAGTTATCAATGTATGTTCTATTTTTTTTGCCTAAATAACATTATCTTTTGATGCACACACACCTTGAGTTGAAATGCTCGCAATGAAAGTAAATTGCTGTATATTATTCATAGTTTAATATAAATCGCTTTTCTGCTATAGCTCATTCTTTTTTTCGCTCTATTTGGCACAATTGCTGGTAATTTATCACTTGAATGGGATAAATTCAAACGTGATTACAACAAACAGTATGCAACAGCTACCGAAGAAAACGACCGTAAACAGATATTTATTAAAAATGTCAATCAAATGCGTTCTTATCAACAAACACATTCTGATGCAACATTTACAATGGCAATCAATCATTTAACGGATCATCATATTGAGGTAATTCTCAATTTTCGATATGTTTTCACAGACGACTATAGATACATTAAAGGATCTTGTCTTTGGACCAAAAACTCACTTTAAATCTCGTCCAACATTATTGAAAAGTTCCATTGATGTAAAGAATCTTCCTGAATCACTTGATTGGCGAACAAAAGGTGTGATCACACCTGTACATAGCGAGGTAGGAGTTATTATAACTGCTATTGTAAGTACTGGTAAGTTTCGATCAAGAAAAATAAGTTTAGTTTATTATCTGACAATTATTATATAGAACTCGTGGAAACTCTTTATGCTATTGAAACCGATAATCTCATACAAGGTAGTATTTCACAAGTATTCGATTGTTGTCCACAACCAATTGATCAATTTGACTGTATAATGAACTTCAGTGGTATTTGTCGTAACAGTGACTATCCAGAATCCCTTGACACATGTAAACCAGACAAATGCAAACCATTCGCTACTGTATGTATAATCAATTTGTATTATAAGGTTTTCGATTCATACAAATTATAGTTTAATAAAATCAACAGACTCACAAAGGCAGATGAAAATATAATGCTAGCTTGGATTCAAGACTCTACTCTCTGGGTAGAAACAGATGCCGTTATCCAAAGTTTTGCATCGTACAGCGGAGGTATCTCAATACATTTGTTTCAGTTATCTATACGATTTCTGTCTCTTTAAGGTATATATGATGACTCTTCTTGCTCACAAACTGATATGAATCATGTGGTAAAGAATGATCGATACTTTTAATTTGAATGTTTCTTAATATAACTCTCTTCTTAGATGCAAATTGTTGGCTATGGTATCGAAGGTGATACACCGTACTGGTTGTGTAAAAATAACTGGGGTGAGTATTGATTTATAGTGAATTTATCTCCATTGTTTTTTATAATCTTAGGTGAAAAATGGGGTGAGAAAGGTTATGTTCGTATTGTACGGGGAAAGAATATGTGTGGTATTGGCAATGTAGTCATACAAATAGCCAATACAAAGAAAAGTGATGCTATACGACAATATTCCATTGTTCCAATGTCTTTAATTGTCCTACTAATGACGATTTCTTTGTTTTTCCACATTGTTTATAATAAATAAATTGATGATAATTATCGAACACAAAAGGGTGTGGGTGTGGGTATATTAAAAATAACACTCGCCTTAGACCCACATGCATCCACGACCTCACCCTTGAAACACAAAAAAAATAATTCAAATATCAGAAAAAAAAATTCTTTTTTATGAGGTAAATATCAATAAAAACATTTTTTATTTTTATTGTGGATTAGATATACGTTAATATGACTCAGATAAAATTTTCAAACAAAGTCATACAATAAATAGATTTAAAGTACTCATAAAATAATTTGAATGAAAATGCATGGATATACATAGACATATTATCAATTATTATTATTCATTATATGTTTTCGTTTTTACAAATCACGAATTTTTTTTTATTTTTTAATTAGAAATCTGGTTAACTACTCTTGAATAGTTTATTCTTAATAAACAAAAATACTCTGAGTTCTTTTGATGATTTCATTATTCATGTACCTGCTGCTGTAGCAAAGTCCACAAGTTTATTTTGAAAATATTTATTATCATTATTTGTTAAATGACGTATCTTATCAGAACTTTATATGATGAAAAGGCAAATATCATAAGAGTGACGAGTGAAATAAAAGATGAAGAAGAAAAATTATTTTATGTATATATTTGAAAAAGTGTATTTACGAGTGAGCAACTATAACTAAGTACAAAATAACGAAAATAAATTTTCTGTAAGTGTAAATACAATTCATATTTTTTTAAATTTATATTGATAATTTAGAATTTGATTGTTTATGAAATGAATAAATTGAATAAAACTTAATCAGAAAGGCAAAGTTATAAAATATATTTAGATTATTGTTCCATAAAAATTTAGATATAGATTTATGAACAAAAATTATATATGATATATTTGAAGTCAATATTCAACCCTAAAATTAAATATTTCTAATTTCTTGTTTTACACTTGTAAAGGATCCAAAAACAAATAGGAACATATCTTTTTTGACTCCTCCGGAGGATTTAGATGTGCGTTGAGACATCCACCCACAAGTAAATTATAGGATGTATCAGATTGAAATAAGTCATATAGAATCCATATTATTATTTTTACGATAAATTTAAAACAAGTGTTGTTATAATAACAATAGATTTGAATTCATCTATTTTTATTTGATCTGTTATTTATAAACTTGATAAATTATCTAACTTATTCTCAAGATATTATTTATTTTAGATAATTTCTTCTAATTACTTGTTAAATAAAATGAAAATGGATATGGATATGAGTATGTGTATGGTTATGCAAAATGGTTTTCAAGTTGCAAATGGAAAAGATGGTTGTATTCTATTTTTATTTCAAGGATGGAATGTTGATACTCATGTTAAATATGCATTTATGCTTATTGGTGTTATATGTATGGGTTTACTGAATGGAGCATTAGCCTATGTTCGTCATTGTTTAGTAAATAATTCAAAACATACATCGTCTTTATTTATTCATCAAATTTACTTATCATTACTATATGCAATTCAAATTGTTCTTGCATACTGGATGATGTTATTAGTTATGACATATGAAACAGGTATTTTTATTTCACTTATATGTGGGCTTGTTCTTGGTCATTTTATTTTTGGCTATATTGAAGCAAAAAATCGTTCATCAACAAGTATTCAACCAGAAACAACTAATACCACATTTCAAAATCAATTTAATAGTACACCTTGTTGCCAAACTAATGCTTAAAATATATTCATGGATTGACTTATGACATTTATCATATAGATTATTTTTTGAATGAGATTTATCTTCAATTTGAGAATTTATTTAGGTAGTCTTTTTTGAAGTTGAAATAAAAAAATATTGATTCTATTCTTTCGATAAAATATATTATATACATCTAATTATAAGCACGGCTAAATATTTACTTTGCCCTTGAATAAATGTCAGTGTAATAAAAACAATATTCAATCTAGATCATTCACACCCATCAATCTGATTTTATTTGAAATAGAAAATATTTGAAATAGAACGAAGCATTCAATAAATATCACAGGGGGTGTAAGTATCTGGAAAATATAAAAAAGGTAGTACTCACACACCCATCCTTGATATGCGAATAGTCTATTCTACATTATGTTTCTCAACAGATACCGGTTCGATTCATTTTGATCCAGAAGACATTTGCTGGCCATTTACTGAAATCATCCGTTTTACTTAATTCCTGGCAAGTGTCCGTAGTTGGAATATATTTATGTAGGATTAAAAACTTGAGTATAAAGTTTCCACGCTCAATATTTTGATATACTTTATCCCATTCCATCATAATTACAGGTATGTCAAAAGCATCAAATAGTTTTCTTCCACTTTCGAAAACATAATATTCGGCTCCTTCAATATCAATTTTCATCACAAAGGACGAAAGATTTGTTTGTTGTATTTTTGGTAAAATATCATCTAATCGCATTGTTCGAACCATATAAATATCATCTGATCGATTCGTTAAGAATGCCGTTCCATATATTCCCTGTCCTCCGATATTTACAGGATCCTTCGATAGTCTTAGATATTGTCCTGTACTAGAATATATAGCATTTCCAATGAGAATTACTTTATTCTGGAAGTTTTCCATTTGAACAGCTTTAGCAATTCTCATATAATTTGGTTGAAAACACTCAATTGCTACTACTAAACGATCCATCGCTGCAATAAACATTGTATATGTACCAATATTGGCACCTATATCGATTAAACCGAGTTGTGGGTTTAGCGACATTATACGGAATAGTATTTGAATATATCTTTCTTCATAGTTGTTGTTTGAAATAAAATGAGCACTTACATAATCTGTCATGTTGTGCACACAGATTGTAGTTCGTTTCATTTTAAATATTGGATTTGTTTTCAAACAAGTAAAATTTTCTGTAATTGTCATATTGAAGTCGATGATGTTCACTGCAGATGGAACAGCGGTTTGAAATTGTAGTGTGTTGATTAATTTCCAAGGAGAAAAAATTGATCTAGTCGATGCTATCGTCAATAATACATAACAAACAAAACTAATAACTATTCCAATCAGTAAAATCCAACAAACACGATTTGATTCTGGAAAAATACGATGCAGTCTTTTTGCAACGATCATTTTTATTTCCAAAATTCTAGTAATAAATAATAAACCAATTTCAGAGAAAGTTTGAAGGTATCAAGATTTTTTCTTCCAGAAGAAATTGTGACGATATATAAGAACACAGTATGCGCATTAGAACTTGAACAGTATTATAAAGTAATGTGGTTACCATCGAAGACGCATGAAATTTTTTTCTCTTTCGTCCGTAGCATGATTCAAAATTTTTAAATCAAACAAAAATAAGTTGTGTACAAACGTCAATAAAGTAAAAACAAGAATATCAATAACATCATTTTACCTTCAAAAAATGCACTTAGTAACTGTTGTGAAGTAGAAAAAAGCAACAGATTTTTGATTACTTTTTTTTTGGATGATTTTTTTTTCAAATTCATAAAAGTAAATCTCATGAATATCAGTATGAAAAAATATTAATCTATTGCAAATACATCGAGTCGTTCATTGTACTGTGAAAGATACTAATGAACTTTTAATAAAAAATACTCGTTCCAGTATAGTTTTTCTTACAAATATTCTATTTATTTCACTCTCATATTAGATTTTAATAGTCAAATGGGTGTAACTTAAAAACTCCCACACTGAAAAATAACCCGCAAAATGATAAACATTTTAAGCGTTTATCAATATGCAACGTATCAAATACCATTTTCTACGGTTTATCAAAATATGCTAAACCCTTTTATCTATCCCGAAAAATAATGCAAAAACAGGGTTCATCGATTGTAAATATCCGTATAAAAGGTTTTATCAGAAGGTTTATATGATTGAAATATGGCAAAAGGGTATGTTATACGTTGCAGACTGATAAACAGTTTAAACGAGTATATGAAATTAAAAAACCAATTAATTTCAATGCAAAATTTCGTTTATTAATGGATATATAATAAAAAAAATACTTTTCATAGAGTTGAAAGAAAGCATAGATTAGCTTCATCAACTAGTAACGGGTTTATCAGAAGGTAGTTCAAACGATTGATGAGTTTTACCAGCTGCCAGCGGATAGACGAAAAAGATACAGTAAAATATTCTCAATATTTCAGACAAATTTATCCAACAATAGATCGAATTATAGTAAAGTTCGTCAACCATGGAACTGATCATCTTATTTTTTCCCTCGATTCACACATCTGACTCTGTATCTCGAGAATAAATTCTGTACCATCTTATAAAATGATAATATAGATTTTGAACAATAATAAATATAAAAGAAATTTATTCAAACTTTACTAATTATAAGTGAGAGCACAATATTCATGTCTGTTATGCACTATTTTATATAAATAAAACAATTTTAACATAAAAAAGTTGCTTACAGTTGTTATCTAGATTCTGTCGTTTTCTTGTTGATATCATTCTTTTTCGCTTTTGTTTCTTCCAACAAGTAATTACGACATCATGTGAAATCTATGATAAAGAACAAATATCCACCCATTTAATGATAAGATCGAGAACAGTATATATAACCAACATATAAGGCTATGGAGCACACCTTTCTTCAGCAATCTACAATGACAAATCAAACAGTCACCAATTTTCTTACATTACCGGTAGAACTTGTCTACCGAATTCTTGACCACCAATCGAATCTGACAATCCTGTGTTCCATGAGGAACGTATGTCAGCGGTTCAATGCGATTGTAGACAGCTACGATCGATATCAGGTAAACTTTTTTCTACCATGATTATCTAAATTTTATCCATTAACTCTCGAATTATTTTTCATTCCTATAATCTCTATGCAAGTAGCATGACTTCAATAAAATATAAGTGAATAAAGTATTTGTCACTCAAAATAATTCATCAGATATATCTCTCTCCCCTTAAATTCCCTTCTTGGATTATGACAATATAGAAAATAGTGCCCTGATAATTAGAAAAACCAGTTTTTTTTCTTTCTACTCAAACTTATCGAAATATTCCACGTTTCAAGCAAAGTATGATGTTATAAACATACAGTATTCGGATAAGAACGAAAAGAAAGAGATAAAATATTATTATTTGCGTTTTACCTGTATGTAAGCATTTTTTAAATACGATTTCGATGATAAGAAATTAGCTTTTGACAGAAATTAATCTTCGAGAAACTAGTTTGTCTTGTTATAAATAACGTTCTCGATACTTCCTTGAGAAATACTTCCGACAAATACTTCTTCAAGAGCATGTCCAACTAAGGGTGCCGGTTGCTGTAGATGCAGAGAAAACTGACTCACAACACTCAAACTCATACTATCGACATGGAATATTTCTTCTAGGAATACTACTCCTAAAACAAATCTTTTATTAAACAAAGTTGCATCAAAACAGATTTCATGTGAAGCACGATTTATTCAGGCCGGAATTTCGAGAATAAATCGTCAGCGCTCTTTACTAATATGACGTTTAAGCATGCATTCACCTTCTTCTCATGCTGACTCTAACATTACGGAGTAGATTATTTAACTTATTTTCCACTTTTTGTAAATTAATGTCGCTTCATGAACACAACTGCACAGTTGCATCAAAAGCAACTATCGAAGCCAATATATATTCTTACTTATATAAATTATATACATCAGTAAGACTAAGTTCGATAACTCAAACAGAGTTTTGATGTAAAATACATATCGAATCTGAATAATGAATGTAAAGAAAACTGTCCACTAACTACCAACAAAAAACTATCTTTCGTCATATCTACAGGATATTAACAAGTGTCGAACCATATTTTACTATGTTCTAAACCATTCACTGTAGTACATTGTCATTTGGGTGCATAATACAATTCTTCGCAATTCTTTTCCCCAGGAGTAGCTTAAAAACTACTTTTTGTTAACCGAAATGTATTTCCGACTTTCGCAAACATTCACAAACGAAAGCCACACATTGACAAAAATTTCCTATCGCTAGTTCAGCCTTGGTAACTTCTTTTCAGTTTCGATTTTCACAAAACACGATTGCATACTGTGTAGGATAGAAAATCGTATAAAACTTCATACTTGTATCCATACATCCAACACACCCGTCAGAACAACATTAATTTCACTGCGGTAACTACATGTAATACCGACCAACTACTATATCTCTTCATTTGTACCATGTATTTACCTTGCCTTTTTCATCTAGACACTCACCACACTCGACCTCGGATATAATCAAATCGATGATCAAAGAGCACAACATCTTGCGAATGCTCTACACGTCAACAAAGTAACAATAATACTTGTTTTTCCTCCTCTTAACTACACTTCATCATTCACACATTCCACACAGACAATTATCAAACTCCATCTCGGAAACAATGAAATTAACGTTCCAAGAACACAAGATTTTGCCAAAACTATACAAACCATCAAAGTAATAATAATACTTGTTCTTCTTCCTCTTCACGTCATTTTATCATTCCTAAACTTTTTACACAGTGGCTCACCGAAAACTTCCGTACTTACGATCAGCTAGATCGTGAAGACATACAATATTTTAACCGTGCTCTAGATATCAACAGTGTAACAATATTACTTGTTTTTCTTCCTCTTCACTTCATTTCATCATTCATACACTTTTCACACAGACACCCATCACACTCTACCTCGAAGTCAATCGAATCGGCAATCAAGGAGCACAATATCTTGCCGATGCTCTACGAATCAACAAAGTAACAACAATACTTGTTCTTCTTCTTCGTTGTCACTTCACTTCATTATTCACACACTTTTCACACAGACACTCATTACACTTGACCTTAGACTCAATGGAATCGGCAATCAAGGAGCTCAATATCTTGCCGATGCTCTACGAATCAACAAAGTAACAACAATACTTGTTCTTCTTCTTCCTCTTTACTTCACTTCACTTCACTTCACTTCACCCTTCACATACTTTTCACACAGACACTCATCACACTCGGCCTAGGATGCAATGAAATCGGTGATCAAGGAGTACAATATCTTGCCGATGCTCTACAAATCAACGCAGTAACAACAATACTTGTTCTTCTTCCTCTCCACTTCACCTCATTATTCACATACTTTTCACACAGACACTCATCACACTTGACCTTGGACTCAATCAGATCGGCAGTCAAGGAGCACAATATCTTGCCGGTGCACTACGAATCAACAAAGTAACAACAATACTTGTTCTTCTTCTGCCTCTCCACTTCACTTCATCCTTCACATATTTTTCACACAGACACTCATCACACTTGACCTTGGACTCAATCAGATCGGCAATCAAGGAGTACACTATCTTGCTGATGCTCTAGAATTCAACGAAGTAACAGCAATACTTGTTCTTCTTCTTCCTCTTCACTTCACTTTATTATTCACACACTTTTTACATAGATACTCACCACACTCTACCTTTCTGGAAATAGAATCGGTGCTGAAGGAGCGCGAGATCTTTACTATGCTCTACTATTCAACGTAAACATAGTAACCAAAATACTTGTCCATCTCCCTCTCCACTTCACTTTATCCTTCACATACTTTTCACACAGGCACTCATCACACTTGACCTTGGACTCAATGAAATCGGCAATCAAGGAGCACAATATCTTGCCGATGCTCTAACATTCAACGAAGTAACAAAATTACTTGTTCTTCTTCTTCCTCTGCACTTCACTTCATCATTCACTCATGTCCCATATAGACACT